CTACAAGCCCACGGCTACTGTGTTAACATCTCTGTGCCTCAGTTTCCCACGTGTCAGTGGGTGGCTCTATGGGACATTGTACTAAAGGACTTAAGGCGCTGGTTCCTGGTGAACTCTCAGGACACGGTGGTCCTGAGCCTCCGTCCCACCCCACCCGTACAGCCCCAGCTTCAAGACCCGGGCTTCCTGGGCATGGTATGGCTGTGTGACCTGTGCTGATAGCTCCTTGGGCTAGCATCTCAAGGACAGGAGTCCCCCACGACACCCACCCCGCAGTCCTCACCTGTGGCACTGTGAGGACACCAGACTCCGGCCACCTCTTTGGCCAGGATCTCCTTCCAGAGCACAGCACCGAAGCTGTCCTCGTCACAGATCTCACAGGGCTCTGCCAAGAGGCCAGGACGTGAGTGGGGGTGGGAACAGGAAGAGGGGTGGAGAGCTGGCAGCAGGGCCAGGAAGGCCAAGACCCCTCCAGGAAATCCATCGTCACAAGGGGGAGTCATTTCCCAGGAGAGCTGAGCCCCAAGCCCACCCAGTCTCTCAGGAAGCCCCTCCCCAGAGGCCAGCGATGGGGTGAGGGGACACTCACTGGGACACCACCGGGTGCTACATTGCTGGTGCTCATCTTGGGGGCTCTGGCTGGCTGCTACCCCAAAGAAGGGCCCTAATCAAGCACGCTCTCCCTGCTGGGTGCCACCACCACGTGACACTGCATCTGCTCCCCAATGCCGAGGGTGCCACTTCCATCCACTGTGTGATGCCATCATGCATAGAGGACAAGGAGGATGCAGATACTGGAGCCACAGGGATACAGACACAGGGACGAAAGGGCAGGAAGCCATGAGAAGAAAACTGAGACCCTGAGAGTGGAAGCCAAGCTCAGCTCCATACAGGAAAAAACAAACGCTTCACATGCACTTGATCCCTCATCAACCCCCTGCCCCCAGCATCCCCAGGGACACTGCAAGGTCCCACAGTGAGATGCCACAGGGTCTTGCCCCTCCCTCGTGGTTCACGCCCAACAGGCCCCCCACCCACATGTCCCTCTGCACGGCCCTGCCGTGGGCACTGCTGCAGGAAGCAGTCTCGAGTCTCCATCCCGTGGCCCTGGCACTCGGCGCCCTGTACGAACGCCCACTGTACTCACGTGTGCCCTGCTGCCACCCAGGGAGCAGCTGGTGGAGCACAGGCTCCAACTTGTCTTTCAGGGGATGACCCCTCCCAAGCACGGATCTGGGACAGAGCAGCCTGGCGGTCAGGAGGGGAGTGTGGGCCTAGATGGGATTAGCAGTGGGGTGTGATGCAGAGGCCAACTGGGCAGGGAGGGGCAGAGGTGCTGGGGAAGTTGGGGTCCGGTGCCCACCCCACTTCCCCCTGGAGGCTCGGTGTTCTCCAGCACTGTCTACAGGCAGCTGGGACAGGATCTCCACTGGCTTTGCGTCCAGGTCCCCAGTGTGGGGGCTGGAAAAATAGCTGGAGCCCCAACTAGGTCTAAAGAGTGAATGAATGAATGAATGAATGAAGGAATGAAGGAAAGACACCCCACCCATCCCAGTGTTGCCTTACACAACAGGGTGATGAGGAGATGGGGTTGAGGATGGTGCTCGGGCTCTGTTTCCTGGGCAAAGGTCCTCGCGCCCTGCTGCCCCGTCCCTGTGGTCCTCGGTCCACTTTCCTCTGAGCATGTCTCCTCCTCATCCCACTCCTGCCCCAGCCATGACCTGTGTGCTCGTTCTCCCACGCCCCCCAGGGACAGCACGAGTGATCAAGATCTCACAGCTGCTGGCTGAGCACCAGGCTGAGCCTCCCCGACACCCAGCAGACTGGCTGCTGAGGGCCTCCAGGCCCCTCCGGCCACCCTCCTTCAGCCCTCTCCTGGGTCTTCTCCATCCTGGCCCTCTCCCCTCGGCAGTGCCTAGCTCAGCTGTGTGTCTTCTGAATGACTGCTGGACCTGTTTAGTCTGCGTGCCACCCCACCCTGACATACATGTGCACACACACACTCCTCCTACCAGTAAAGTGCAGTGCAGGAGACACCACAGGTGGCACAACCAGGTGACAAGAGCTGGTTCTTCCCTCTGTCTCCCCCTTACAAGCTGTGTTACCCTGGTTGCTGCCTTAACATCTCTGTGCCTCATTCCACTACATAAGCATTAATCCAAGGCCTCCTGTGTGCCAGGTTTCATCAGCCAGCAGGGCAAACTCCTCTGCCTTGTTGGGAGCTACATCGTGGCAGGACAGAGAATAAGGACACAGGAATTACCCGGTGTTCACAGCCAATGCCATGTGGGAGGAGAAAAAGACAGGGTGCAGTGAGAGTGCGGCTGGGGCTGCTGCCACTTGAAGCAGCACGGTCAGGGGGTCAGGATGGCCAGGGCATGACAAGCTGAGGGAAGGGGCCCTGTGGGTGTGCAGTTAAGAGTGTTCCAGCCCAGGGAACAGCCTGTGCAAAGGCCCTGCGCAGGGGGCCGCCTCGCTGAGGAGACATCCCCGGGCTGCTGGGAGGAGTAAACTGGTTGACAGGCAGTGCTTCC